GTGTGTGTGCGTCAATATTTACATTCACAGAGCAGACTGATGTAACTAAAAATAAATAAAATTCCTCACCCATCCACCTCTCAGTGACGCCCTTAAAGTCTCTCAGCGGGAGGTAAACATTACACACATTCACTTGTAAACAAAACAAATAAAAACGCGGGAACATTCTAACACCATCCTAATATTTCCCGCCAAAAAATCTCACCAATGGCGTCTCTAATATTTCCCGCCAAAAAATCTCACCAATGGCGTCTCTAATATTTCCGCCAAAAATTCACCAATGGCGTCCCTTATAATTATTTCCCGCCAAAAAATCTCACCAATGCAGTCCCTTATAATTATTTCCCGCCAAAAACCTTCCTTGTCCATATATTTCCTCATAATTCCTAACAAAATAAAACACATGACGATTCAATTCCTACCAATCCAGGAGTTCAAGAGCCAGTAGGAATGTGAAGTGAGAGGAGGAGAGAAACGGTGGTAATGACAATGATGGCGATAATGATGATGCGGGAGTGAGTCTCAGGGTTAAGACTCTCCCGCCCGCCAGACGCACACACATTGTTTACAAGTTTGTGGTCGCTTAAACAACGTTATGAGGCCAGACAACTTTCCCTCATTTTTTTTTTTGTGTCACACGGAATAACACACACACACACACACACACACACACACACACACACGCCTTAAATAACACGAGGCGAGACGGTAACTTCTACCATAAGTTAAGAGTTAGGCTTAAAATTACTTTGCCTTTGTTAGGTTCGCATTAGGCGTTGACAGACAGACAGACAGACCCCCCTTCCTCCATGTTTGGGCAATCAAATTATTTACCTGTGAATTTTAAACAACTTTTAAGGAGCGATGACTCAACCCTGTGTGTGTGTGTGAGACCCCTCCCACTCCCCCTCCTCCCTCCCCCACACCCTCCTTCAGGTGTCACCACAACACCAGCGCCTCTATGATCAAGACCCCCACCACGCCTTTCACACACCCCACCAGCGTCGCCTGCAGGAGGGTTGCAGGTGCTATCATGCTGACTACTCGTGGGGAGGAGGGAGGATGGGGCAGGGAGGGGAAGGGAGGAGAGATGAGAGGTAGGGAGAGAAGAGGAGAGGTGATGGCGAAAGGGTAGTGATGGGGAGGCAGGGAGGGGAGAGAGGGCAGGGAGGGAGGAGGGCAGGAGGGAGGGGCAGGAGGGAGAAGGGCAGGCAGGAGGGCAGCAGGAGGGAGGGGTGCAGAACGTCAGAACCAGCCCCGACAGACGATCCCATGACTGGAGATAATTACATAATCAAAACTTAAGTTAATAATTTTTATAACGGGGTGTATCACTTCTCCTCTCTCTCTCTCTCTGTTCTCTCTTTCCCTATCCTTTCATGCTCACTTTCCTTTTTTCCTTAACTGCTCTTTCTCATCTCCTTTCTCCTTCCTTCCCCTTCCCCTCTTCCTCAGTTTAAAGACAAAATGGTCCACAAATGAGAGAGAGAGAGAGAGAGAAAAGAGAGAGAGAGAGAGAGAGAGACCCACACAATCTGTTACTAATTAAACCCCATAACTTTATTCTTTTTAATTAACTGCCTCTCAAAAGTGTAACGAGGTAGTAGTAGTTAACTTGTTGAGAAGACACTATATAGCACCAGTTTAATAAAGTTCTTGTAAGTTTATAACGAGGTGGTTAGGTAATTATGTTTTACAGGACTCATTTAACTACCTTGTTACGTTAATTTAAGGTGGTAATGGGGTAGTTCGGTAGTTTAGTTGCTCTTAATGTTTGATTTTGTTTTAATTGCCCTTTGCTCAGAGTTGATGTAGTTGAAGAGGTTTTCAGGAGATAATTGGATCACCTGAAGATGAGACACCCCCTGAGTTCACCTGATGATTAACCTAACCTGGCCTGACCTAACCTAACCCTCTTTACCTTATCCTAAACTTGACCTCTTGACCTGGAGCCACTAACCCTGACCTTATTTTTCCCCTGACACAGTTATGACCTCACACGCGCGCACACACACACACACACAAACTCGCACTTAAAGACACACACACACACACACCTCTCTTCAGCAGGTGGGATAATCGATGTAATATCCACACCAGTTAATCAGACCAACCACATCCCTGAATCACCAGCCACCGCCCTGACCACACCCATGGGCTATCACAACCCATTACCTTCACCCCCCTACACAACCCAGTACCCCCCACCTCCCACCCATGATTTCAGCCCCACCCCACACCACCCATTCTTTCACCCCACCAATGATTTTCAGCCCCACACCACCCCCCAATTTATGAGAACGTATGTCACTACCAACCCATGATTTACCCCCACACATAATCATGGGTTCCATCTCACAGTAAACGAGACAGGACTGAGGTAATCTCACACACAACAAAGACTACCTGTATGGCCTATCACTTTAGATAATTAATATATTACTGGTATATTAAGACTCCATCTACATTATACACCTGTAGCTACATCAACTAGTTACCAAGAACTACATAAACAACTCTCTGTTTTTCTGGCTAAATATTCTGTTTCATTATCAAAGTAGAAGGGTTAGTCTTGTTATATTCAACGCCACACTATCTTAACTACAGGGGTCTGATATATATACCTTTGTTGACCTCTGCTCTGTGATTGTTGACCTCTGCTCTGTGTTTGTTGACCTCTGCTCTGTGTTTGTTGACCTCTGCTCTGTGTTTGTTGACCTCTGCTCTGTGATTAGTTGTTGTGTTAGTGTTTATTGAATGGTAGTATGCACGATAAACTAGCCGCTGTTAAGGGTTCATTCTATCCATTTCGCTTTTACCAATCTCCTTTCCTCCACTCTACCTCCTCCCCCCCCCTTCCTCCTTCCTCCCTCCTCACCTACCTCCCTCCTTCCCTCCCTCCCTACCTCCTTCCCCCTCCCTCCCCACCTACCCCCCCCTTCCTCCCTACCTACCTCCCACCCTGTCCTTCCTCCTCCCTCCCTCACCTCCTCACCTCCCTCACTCACTCACTCTCTCTCTTCACCTCCCTCCTTGAGTGAGAAAGAAAGAAAGAAAAGGAAATTAAAGAGAAAAGAAAATGCAAACAAACAGACAAAAGTGAGCTCATTATGAGAGAGAGAGAGAGAGAGAGAGAGAGAGAGAGAGAGAGAGAGAGAGAGAGAGAGGTTAAACAACTTATCAAATTCTGTTGCTACACCCTGGCAATTCCCTACTGCCCTGCCCACCTCTTTCCTCCACCTCAAAAGGCCACCTCACCCTTACGCCTGACCCTTGAGTGGCTACCACCTCACTAGGGTCACCTTAGAGCCACCTCACCCTTACGCCTGACCCTTGGAGTGTGGCCACCTCCCTCACTAGGGCCACCTCACCCCTAACCATTCCTAACCAAACCTCAACCAAGACCCAACCTAACCTAACCTAACCAAACCCCTCAACCAAGACCCAACCAAACCTAACCTAACCTAACTCAACCTAACCCCCCATTTTCTACCCTATTTCACACGGAAGAGAAACTGTGGCTTGACCTTGTCTTACCCTCACTAACAATGGAACTACCTAATCGCCTCGTTCCTGTCGTTAGAGGGTCACAGGGGAACTACTATCTATCTTGCTTAAGTAACAATGGTTTACTTTCTCTTGATGTGTATACAGTGAGTGAGAGGTACACATACATACATACATACATACATAAGAGAGAGAGAGAGAGAGAGAGAGAGAGAACGATAACTCCATCTCTCTCAGTTATGAAACCTCACCTATTCCTCCCTCTTCTCCTCTCTATCATTTTCCTTTCGCCCTTCCTCACCCCCTTCCTCCTACAATCCTTCCCTTCTATCTCACCCTGCCCTTCCTTCCCTCCTCACTCACCCCAGCCCATCTTCTCCTGCCCTCACCCCCTCAAAATAAACCAAACCGCTTATTTCACTCTTGGTCGGTCTGGAATACATTACTGAAGAGGCAATTTGGAGGCGAAGCATAGCAGAGAAAATGAGATTCTCTCACTCTTATCTCCCTGTGAGGTAGTGGTGGCAGGGTAGTGGTGGCAGGGTAGTGGTGGTAGGGTAGTGGTGGTAGGGGTAGTGCAGGGCAGGTGGCAGGTAATGGTGGCAGGGTAGTGTGGCAGGTAGTGGTGGCAGGGAGGGTGAGAGGGGGTGGGAGGGTAGTGGTGGGAGAGTATGGTGGGTAGGTAGGGGTAGTGGTGGCAGGGTAGTGGGTGGCAGGTATGGCAGGGTAATGGTGGGTAGTGGGGGTAGGGTAAGAGGGTAATGGTTAGGTAAATGGTAGGTAATGGTGGCAGGGTAATGGTGGAGGTAGTGGTGGGGGTAGTGGGGTAGGTGGGTAGTGGTGGGGCAGTGTGGCAGGGTAGGTGGCAGGTAGTGGTGGGGTAGTGGTGGCAGGGTAGGTGTAGGGTAGTGGTGGCAGGGTAGTGGTGCAGGCAATGGTGGCAGGGTAGTGGTGGTAGGGTAATGGTGGCAGGGTAGTGGTGGCAGGGTAGTGGTGGCAGTAAGAGGGATTCCTACAGAGTCCTACACACGCCTCGGACAAGTTCCAACGAAGAATTGAACGTAGGACTTGTGAAGGACTTGAAAGGGACCTCACCAAACTCTTTATCGTTCAAGTTCAATTCAATATTTATCGTCAAAGATGAACAATAATAAAGGTATCGAAGGAGGAAAATAAAATAATAAAGTAATCCCGTATGATGTAACTTAGGAAGTGAAATAGAATATGATGTGAACTGTACGTTTATCTAGAGGGGAAGTGGAAGTGACACACACACACACACACACACACACACACACACACACACACACACACACACACACACCAATCAGACCACAATCACCCAAACGTGCCTTGTAAACAGATTAACTAGAGTTTATGTAGACGAATATATTATGAGGCTGTGTGTGTGTGTGTGTGTGTGTGTGTGTGTGTGTGTGTGTGTGTGTGTGTCCTGTACTCCTTCCTCCTCCTACACCTCACCAGACACTCACCTCTTGTCTTAGAAGTCCTCGTCCCAAGTGACCTGGTGGGCGGGGGTCAACAAGTCCTGTAAAGAGACCAGGTCAACTTAGTGCAGAACAACTACAGCAATAGGTTAGGTTAGGTTAAGGTCAGGTCAGGTTAGGTTAGGTTAGGTTAAGGTCAGGTCAGGTTAGGTTTGTGACATTTTCCAACATTCTCTGGAGTGGGTGGAGGGTTAGGGTGGAGAGGTAAAGAGGTGTGTTAGGGGGTGAGAACAAAGGGAGGGAGGAGGGGAGGCAACAACTTCAGGAGGACCTATGACAGCGACGTCAAGAATCAGTTATGGCAGAACAACTTTCCTCTTGGCGTGATTCACCTGACGGACCTTATTCATGTCGCCTCTCACGCCTTGTTCTCTCTCTATTTAACTCTGTCTTTATATATTTACTTCTCTCTCTCCCTCTTTCCCTCTTATTGTACTTTCTCTGTTCATCCATCCACACCATCATTTCAACCCACACCCATCACTCACCATCATCACACCATCACTCACCATCATCACACCATCATCACACCATCATCACTCACCATCATCACATCATCACTCACCATCATCACACCATCACTCACCATCACCACATCATTCCAGAATAGCCCAAAGAAAAGTCATATTCCTAGGTATTGATTCTTCCCCCACCTCCAGGACCCCCCCAAGACTCCGAGTCACTGATAAATACTGCGGCCATATTTACCTTCACCTGTCTTATGTAATACTGTAGGCGGCGTGTGGGTTGGTCACTGATATGGCCTTCTATCTATATATCTATCTATCGATCGATCAGCCTTTCTGTCTGACTTTCTGTTTTAAAAATTCTAATGTATGTATGTATGTATGTATGTATGTGTGTGTGTGTGTATGTATGGTGTATCTCTTCTCCCCTTCCTCTCCTCTCTCCCCCCTCCCCTTCTCTCCCTCCTCTCCTCACCCTCTTCTCCTCTCTTCTCTCTCCTCCTCTCCTCTTCCCGTCCTCTCTTCGCCCCTCTTCTCCTTCCTCTCCCCCTCCTTCCTTCTCCCCCTCCTCTCCTTCCTTCCCTTCCTCTCCCCTGTTCAACACATTGTCCCGCCTACACAATATTTTTCCTAACACAACGATAATGAATGTCAGGGACCTTTTGTTCCACCAATCAGAATAGAGGTTAATGTCAAGGACCCTTTATTCCACCAATCAGAATACAGGTTAAAGTTTATTTTATGTGCTACATATGAGAGAGAGAGAGAGAGAGAGAGAGGATTAATTACTCACGTATACTTTTTTAAGCGGGGAGGGGGAAGGGGTCAATTTTTAGGGGGAGGGATTGTGAGTGTAAATTAAACCCTGATTTAAAAAGGACAAACTCCATGTGTATTTGATAAGTACCATTGAGCATTTACTGTCCTATCAGATACAGTTCGGCCTGAGTATTGTAGTTGACGCATTGGACGGCTTCAAGGCTAATGAGTCATTATTATTTTCTTAATTACACTTGACCAAAAATTAGGAGACTTATTTTATCTAGTGCTGGGAATCTGACCTTTAGAGTGCCACTGTGAAGCCCTCAAGTGCCAGTTAGTTTAGTGCCACTGTGAAGCCCTCAAGTGCCAGTTAGTTTATTGGCACTGTGAACCCCAAGTGCCAGTATCACAACCCAATGCAGTTTAGTGGCACTGTGAACCCCAAGTGCCAGTAGTTTAGTGGCACTGTGAACCCCCAAGTGCCAGGTTTAGTGGCATTGTGAACCCTCATGCCAGTGTTTAGTGGCACTGTGAACCCCCAAGTGCCAGTAGTTTAGTGGCACTGTAGCCTCACAGAAGTTTAGTGGCACTGTGAACCCCAAGTGCCAGTAGTTTAGTGGCACTGTGAACCCCAGTGCCAGAGTTTAGTGGCACTGTGAACCCTGCCAGTAAGTTTAGTGGCATGTGAACCTCATGCCAGTAAGTTTAGTGGCACGTGAACCCCAAGTGCCAGTAGTTTAGTGGCACTTGAACCCAAGTGCCAGAACCCAAGTGCCAGTGTTAGGACTGAACCCCAAGTGCCAGTTTACACTGAACTCAAGTGCCAGCCAAAGGTGTGTGTGAGAGAGATAAGGCGCCATTATCGTGTTCGTCTCAACTTGTAGTGTTTAAAACGACGTCTGGTTTTTAAGTCAAAGCTATACGTTGAGAGAGAGAGAGAGAGAGAGAGAGAGAGAGAGAGATTTTAACTACCCTAACGCAACCTTCCGACCTAACCTAACCCACAGGTAGCGTTAGGTTCTTTTAATCATCATGTGAGAAGCTGAGGGGGTGATAATCTTCAGGTGACCCAATTATTAGAACGATGACTTAACTCAGTGAACTGGTCTGATGCCTCGTGTCTAACTACCACAACTACCACCACCAGTAACAGTAACTACTACTACTAATCACTCCTACCTATCCTTCTTCTTCCCACTCCATTCTTCCTTCCCCCTCTATCATCCCTCCCATCTCCTTCTTCCCTATTCCTCTTCCTCTCTCCCCTCGTCACCCCACTACCTCCTTAACACTTATATTGATTTTACTTGCTCTTGACACAGCCTCCTGCCCACCCACCCGCCCGCCCACCCACCCACCCAACCCAAGCAGACCACTCACTGCCCACCCACTCACCCCAAGCAGACACTCACCGCCCACCCACCCAACTAGCAGCCTATACGACCAAACCACCCATCAAGTGGACCCCAGCCTATCATCACACCGCCCCAGCCACCCATCATCAGGCCCACCCAGAGTCTATCATCGACCCATCGACCCACCCACCCCAGCCTATCACATCGAACCGGCAGCCACCCACCACCCAGCCTCGAACCCACCCATCCCGCCTAGCCACCACCACCACCACCATCAACCAATGTGGGCCCACCATACCACCCAGCAACATACAGCTACGCCCACTCAGCCACCCATCTGACCTACATAGCCACCCACAGCCACCCCACCAGCCTAGCCACCCATCCTAATACGATCGACCGACCCAACCACCACCCACACTTCTGGCCCAACCAGCCACCCAACCCACACCCCCCAAACACCGCCCTCTTGCCACACACACACACATGAAAACCACGCGTGTATGGGCATGACATTCACTGATTGGTCTTCACCCAACAAGACGGTCAGAGATTGGTCCTTCCTATATAAAGGTGTTCCGTGATTGGTCCTTCCTATATAAAGGTGTTCCGTGATTGGTCCTTCCTATATAAAGGTGTTCAGTGATTGGTTCTTGCACACCATGACGTCAGCAGCCCGTGTTCCTCCTCCTGCCGACGTCACTAGACCATTAAACCTGACCTAACGTGACCTAACCTAACCTAACCTAACCAAACCTAGTAATAGTAAAAATCGCTGTGGTATAAAAACATGGGGGTTAAAGGACCAATCAGGGCCCGTGATGCCCCGATACGCGTGTGTTCTGAGAGAGAGAGAGAGAGAGAGAGAGAGAGAGAGAGAGAGAGAGGCAGGATATACACAACATTAAGCTTCAGGAATTAACTTAACACACACACAGGACATAACAACCTGCCCTGAGTGACGCCCCCCGGGACCTGCTGCCTCTGTATACCTGTATGTCTGTGTATATGTTATGTATACCTGTATTATGTATAGCTGTGTGTGTATATGTATCTGATTGTATGCCTGTGTAGGTGTATATACTTGCACGCGTGTATACCTGTGTGTGTATATCTATCTATCTATCTATCTATCGTAATATGGCCGTGGGGAGGTTATCACCACTTAGTAATTATGCTGATATCGAAGGATTACCTGGTCAATATACAACCTGATGAACGGGGTCTAGCGTGGGGAGGGAAGGAAGGAGGGAGGGGAGGGAGGGGAGAGGAGGAGGAGGGAGGAGGAGAGGGAGAGAGAGAGAGAGAGAGAGAAGAGAGAGAGAGAGAGAGAGAGAGAGAGAGAGATTATAACCCCTTCGTGACACCTTTTATCTCTTTCTCTCTCTCACTATCTCTACTGTGTGTGTCTCAATATATCTATACCTCTATCTCTTACGGTCTCTTCATCTATAATTTCTCTGGTCTCATAATGTTTACCCCATCTCCAACCACAACCACCCCCCTACCACAACCACCCACCCCCTCCCCCTCACTATCAACACATCCCCCAAACCACCATCAGTTCAGTAACTCTCCACCCCACCCCTACCCCCCCACCCCATGCTAACTTTCCTTACCTCTCACCCCACCCTCACCAGTCCTACCATCACCCCCTCACGACCCCCCTACCAAACACCTCAGCCACTAAAGCCTGTGGTATCTTACTATCACGCCACACCTTCACACACACACCACACACCTCACACACTCACCACACCTTCACACACTCACCACACACCCACACACCACCACACCACACACCACCACACACCTCACACACCCACCACACCTTCACACACCACCACACACCCACACCCACCACACTTCACACCACCACACACCTTCACACACTTACCACACCTTCACACACTCACCACACACCCTTCTTCACCACCACACCTTCACACTCACCAACACTTCACACTCACCACACACCTTCACACACACCACCATACCCACACACACCACCACACCCACACACACTCACCACACCCACACACCACCACACCCACACACCACCACACCCACACACACACCACCACACCCACACACACACCCACCACACCCACACACTCACCACACCCACACACACACACCTCACCATACCCACACACACACTCACCACACCTACACACTCACCACACCCACACACACACCACCACACCCACACACTCACCACACCTCACACACACACCACCACACCCACACACACACCACCATACCCACACACACCACCACACCCACACACACCACCACACCCACACACACACCCCACACACCTTCACACACACACCTTCACACACCCCACACCTTCACACACTCACCACACCTACACACTCACCACACCCACACCTCCACCACACTACACACACAAAGGTTACCTGACACTGAGAGATAAATGTGACCTCTTGACCTCCAGGGTGTAGTGTGTATGTGGGGGTGATGTGTGTGCGTGTGTGGAGAGGTGTGTATGTTTGAAGAGAAAGCGCACACACACAGACAGACAGACAGACAGACAGACACACACACAGTTGATGGAGGTGCTATGTCTATTATTACACCTACAGGATAATCTCCCAGCAGGAGACAGTAGCCCTGGTGCACTACCTTGGGGGGAACCCTGAGTGGAGAATATTCTCTCTCTCTCTCTCTCTCTCTCTCTCTCTCTCTCTCTCTCTCTCTCAGCAGGATGTACCTTTAAGAGAGTGACAGAGAGGATGTAGCCACTAGCTCTCTCTCTCTCTCTCTCTCTACGACACGTGCTTGAGAGAATGAGAGACAGGATATAGTCAGTACCTATCTCTGCAGGACACGTGCATGAGTGAGTGAGAGATAGAGACCTCCGTATCTCGCTAACTGCGGGTTCACCATTAGCAGAGGAAACGGACATCCACAAGCGTCACGTGATTCTCCCTAAAACGTAATCGTCTCCCTTAAAAGCAATAACAATCTCCCTTAAATGTAATCGTCCCCCTTAATGCCATTACAATCATCCCCCAAATGTAATCGTCTCCCTTAAAAGCAATAACACACCTTAAATATAATCCCTTAAATGTAACACCTTAATTGCCTTGTTTACCTTCACTTCAGCTCACCTGCCACTAATTACCCTTCAGTGTGTGGGCTCCAACTTACCTGTAAATGGAGAGAAATTCATTAATACAGCGAGTAGGGTGACGACTAGTACCAGGTGAGAGAGAGAGAGAGAGAGAGAGAGAGAGAGAGAGAGAGCTAACATATTCATAGACAATCTCAATAAACAAACCCTCATCTTGTAATATAACCTTCACTCATACGAAAAAAAAAAAAATAATTATAACACATGAATAATTTAGAAATAAATTATAGAACAACATTAAAAAACACTACAGCACTATATTATGTATAGTGAATATGTGTGTGTGTATGTCCATGTATGTATAGTGAATGTGCGTGTATGTATGTATGTACAGTGAATGAGTGTACTGTTTATGTGTGTATAGAGTGTGTGTATAAATTGAATGTTTGTATGTATGAGTAGAAAGTATATATATGTGTATAAGTATAAAATATACATAATGCAGTACATATATACAGTACGGACTCCCAAGATATTCTCAGCAATAAATATTAACCAAAATAATAATAATAATAACAATCCCTTCAACAAACACAAAGGAGAATCAAGATAAAATAAGTAAAATATGAAAGAAAAAGAAAGACTCAACTATGGAGAGAAAAAACCTCGAGACGTGACGAATGTGTATCAACAAAAACAGCCGAGAATGGAGGGAGTTGGGAAGACGGCCGAGAGGAAGATGGAAGAAGAAGAAGTAGGAGGAGGAGGAGGAGGGGAGATGGTAGGAAGGATGTGGAGCCTGACAGACCCGGATATCACCACCATTAGGACCCACAACTATCAACAACAGATTAAAGGGCCACACACACATATGGGACGGTCGTATCAAGCCCTACGTCCTTAAATAAACGGAATTCTTAAACGGTACACGTGTATTAGAAACGCCTGAATAAACGGCACAGGAGAATAATGTTAACGGCACACTTGTAACTGAACTCTGGATACACGTTTAAAAGGGACACGCTTAAACGGCCCACGTGTAAATGAGACGATTTAACTGGTATTGTAAACAGATAAACGGTCTCTTCTAACAGCACGCATGTAAACGGGAAGTTATAACGGTACGCCTCTAAACGGGACGGGTGTGTTATCAGGCCAGCCGGATGTACTGTACGGACGGAATATCACGAATTACGTACAGTACAGACAGGCAGACAGACAGACAGACAGAGATAGACAGATAGATAATATGTGGAGGAGGAGGTAGAGAGGGGGGAGGAGGGGGAGGGAGAGAGAGGGAGGAGGGGGAGGGAGAGAGGGAGAGAGGGAGTAAGCATTTATAATTTTATTTACGTAACGAAAATATTAATACTTTCCCTTGTGTATAGTTATGTATTGATATTTTCCTCGTGTATAACAAAACTATAATACTTTTTATTTCTTTTTGACTACTTTTATAATACTTTCAACACACTCCATAATATTAATAAGACTTCATTAAGAATTCCGTATGAATAATTCTAGTACATTTACTTAATTACTTTACCTACAGTGCTTTCTCTCACTGTTTATAAGTAGTGCGACAGTACTTTTCACTTGAGGATGAACCGTAATTGTAGTTTCATAATCACATAACAAGGATAATTACGATACTTTTCTCGCTTGATAATTACAGGTGAATCTTTTATACACCAGGTGCGGAAATTACCTGACATTACCTGAAGGAGTAGGTGTAAATAATGCCTTAAACTGGCTTGGGATGAATACGGGACTTCCAGGTACTATATACGGTAATTCTGGGAGCTTTCTACGACTGTTAGTGATCCGTACGACGATTCTGGAAGTTTTATACGACTCTAGATAATGTGTACGTTAACCCAATGAACTTTACGACTTACGATACGTTATAGGGTAACTAGGAACATGTACGATTGATGATGCGTACAACAACACCTCTGTGAATTGTACGACGATACGATACATACGGTAACAAACTTCACTGTCATCTCAGAGCGGGTCGGGCCAGAATGTAAACAAAGCGCACGTTGTCCCTTGGAAGTTGTCGTTGTTTAGCTTGGGTATAGTAACGTACATGCCCGAATGACGTGAAGATTAGGCACCCTAGCTTATTTTACCTGAAGATTAACCTCCCTAACGATAACCTATCCTGACTTAACCTCATCTAACCTAACCTAGGGTCTTTAACTAACCTGTCTGCTGCTATATCTATGTATTACAATGTAGGTGATTCTCTCTCTGTAACACACACACACACACGATATAACTCTAACACTAATAAGATTAATCCCTGGACGTTGTCATGCAGTAGGTCCGACAGTCAGTCCCTCATGCACGACAAGAGATAATTTCATGGCAAGTGACTCTCCTGCAACCAAGAAAAACAACAACAATAATTTAGTGAGTTTCAGACGGCACACACACACACACACACACACACACACACACACACACACACACACACACGGAACAGAATAAAAACAATAATACTTAAGTTTAGAATCACAAGAATATTAATTTATAGGTTAGGTTAGGACAGATCTACGTTGAGTTAGGTTGGATCTCTACGTTAGGTTGAGTTGGATCTTAGAATTGGGATTAGGTTAGGTTGGATCTACGTTAGGTTAAGTTGAGTTTAGATGAGACTTGGGAATCATTTAAATTTGGTTCCGTCACACTATAAGGTTACGAATCAACCCCCCCCTTCTCTCCCTCCTCCAGGCAATCCCGTCCGTGGTACATCATCCAACATCCCCCCCCCCCTGTGGTCCTCTACCGTGTGTAACATTGCCCTTAGGCTCTCCTGTGACTATTTCTATTTAATTAATTACTGACCAATACTGGTACCATACAAGTGTGTAAAGTTAGTTATGGAGCTTTAAATTACAGTGGCTTAGTGTGTTAATCTCTCTCTCTCTCTCTCTCTCTTAGTATAGCCTCCAAGTAATTTTGACGTAAATAAGTTAAGTTAATATTAAAATAGGTTAAGTAAGGTTAGATTAAATTAAACTAGGATAGGTTAGATTTGATTGGATTAAATTAAACTGGGTTAGGTTAAGCCAGATTAGATTAAATCAGGTTAAGTTAGGTTAGATTAAGTTAAGTTAGGTTAGGTTAAGGTATTACAAGGCGGCAACAGTAAGGAGCTGTAATTCCCCGCCGCCTGTGATCTTGAAGAGCCCTTGAGCCAGGTACCGTGAGTGATGAGGCTGTGTGGTGAGCCATCTACCTCACCTGGCACCCTTCACTCTCACCTCTCACCCTGGCACCCTTCACTCTCACCTCTCAACCTTAAGGTAGGATAAAATAAATATAAAAAAGGAGAATGAAAGAAGTAAAAGAATGAAGAATGAAAGAAGTATTCCAGTAAGTACTAAGCCTTCACTTCCCTACTTGTTCATATTGTAAAACTCAAGACGTCACAAGCACAGGTGTAGCCAGGTGTATGTCTCTCACTCAAGGTGTAGCCAGGTGTATCCCTCTCTCTCAAGGTGTAGCCAGGTGTATCTCACTCAAGGTGTAGCCAGGTGTATCTCTCACTGTTTTCATCTCACTATAATGACAACTAACATACACTGTGGTATCGTTGTATAAGCCCAGAACTTCTATACTATAGCTGATATACAAGCCCTTACGACTACTACTACTACTACTACTACTACGACAGACAATAGTATCTCCACTACTACAGTATCATGTCACTATACAACAGGTGTCGGGGCAAAAAATGATCATGTTACACTCTGCTACAAGACATTGGGCAATAAGTAGGTGTTTGGGCAATAAAACAAGTGTATAAACAAGAAGAAAGTAGATAAACAAAACACAATTATCTGGACAGCAAACAAGCACTACACAGCCGCTCCCACTAGGCTATATGACCAGACGATCAGCTCACCACACAAACATTAACCTCTTTCTGGCAGTTGTCTTAAAGGATAATGATAAAAATACACTGATAATAAAGACCAGTTTAGTTATTATCAAAGGTTAGGTTAGGTTGGGTATTGGGTTAGGCTTGGGTTAGGCTTGGTTTAGTTTAGTTTGGTTAGGTTAGGTTACTTCCGACAGAAAAAATAAATAAATACAAAAAATCCGTGTGTTTTCCCCGAGTAATATTATCTAACAATTCTTTAAAAAATAGATATAAATAAATCAAGTTATTCCCCATTGATAATAAAGTAAATTAAAAAAATATCCTACCGAAGCCTAGTACAAATTTACCCACAAGTGCTTGGCAGAACCAATGTATGGCATCACGATTTACACACGGACTTGCACATATTAACAGACTCTTACACAAATTACAATAAATTAAGCACAGTCTTACACAATTTCACAACTAGCAAGTATCTGGCGGTCACAAGGTAAAACTGCAGAGTCATTGGCCCCAAGAACGCATTTTCAGCCCCTGAGAATCGATAATGAACACACACACACAAGGACACACACACACACACACACACACACACACTTGCTTAAAATCCAATAAACACACAATCAATTAACAACTCAACCGAACCACAAACACATGATTTGGAATACTACATTAAACCTTTAAAATGTGAATAAGAGTCAAACAGAACCTACAAGACTTTTCAAACAGAACCTCAGAGCTAAAGGAATCACATCAGAACCCCGAATATGAAGAAAGGACCCTCCCCCCCCCTCCCCCCACAGAACCTAAGACGGGGGAAGGAATTCTTAAGTGGTCCTACAAGGCGTGGAATGCCGTTCTATAGTCACAGCGTCACAATCCGGTGTTACGCAAGAGATGTCCACACGTTATATAGTACTGTTGTGACGATAGTGGCAAGCCCCCCCCCCACACACACGTTACATCGTTAAAAGACACTATATTGTAACAGGTTCTTGAATACGTTCTTTATCAAGGCTCTAACATGTGAAATCTGTTATGAAATATTAATTCAGTGTGACATTTGTAAAGGAATTTTTCGATATTCAATAATACAGTTTATGGCTGATGTAACGGAATGTCTATGGAACAAAATACCTTCTATAACTGCTGTCAAGTCTGATGTCTTCAAGTAGTGTTTGTTTGTCATAGCTGTAATGTCTTAAATCTGTTACAATAATAATGTTTACAGATGATAACTATTATTGTTTCGTTATATTAAGTATCGCAAAATAAAAATTCATGTAATTTATCAAGTGTCAAAAATATCGCATGACAGCTGTCTGTAATACTCTGTAACTTACAAAATTTCGCTCACGAATGGCAGCTGTGACACCTTCATTTTCTCACAATATACAGTATATATTTATGACAGTCGTATGACACTACTTGGCATAAAATAACGTTCATATATGACAGCTGTGATGTGTCAATTCACCACAAAATCCGGTTGTCACCACAAAATTCCGGTTACGTCACTTGTAACGTCAAATATCACAAAATACACTTCACATAATAACAGACAGCCGTAATGCACTACGGACCTAAATAACACAATTACCCCTACCATGTAATGACAACTGTACCGCACTGTAATTAACACAAACTTCCTCTCATCAGCTGTAACGCCCGAGTATTACAAAGAGCACACACATATGTACACAATAACCTTTTGTAAATCACACAATAACATTCAACTACTACTACTGTATCGGTTATTAAATCACAAAATACAGTTAAGATTGCTGTTCAGTTTTCAATATGACAAACATATCGTCCATTTATGTCCACTATAACACCTTAAATGACAAAATAATCCTAGGTATATGTCAGTCGGTTTGTATGGTAAAACTAACCACTTCCGCTGATATAAAGATACCATTATATCTGACGTGCTGACATTATAATATATCACTAGTATTAACAATCTGAGCCAGCGGGGTGACCGAGTATAACACTGACATGAGACTGACGGTGACCTGTGACGGTAACATGAGACTGACGGTGACCTGTGACGGTGACGGTGACCTGTGACGGTGACCTGTGACGGTAACATGAGACTGACGGTGACCTGTGACGGTGACGGTGACCTGTGACGGTAACATGAGACTGACGGTGACCTGTGACGGTAACATGAGTGACGGTAACAAGACAGTGACGGTGACATGAGACAGTGACGGTAACATGAGTGACGGTAACAAGACAGTGACGGTGACACGAGACAGTGACGGTAACATGACGCTTGTTATGTCGTTTCCTTAAACTGCCGAGAAACGTGAAATTACGCCATTATTGTTTTGCACTTGACACTAATTGGCAATTAGCTTGGACTCAAATATTATCAGGTGACAGATTTTTTTTTTAATTTTGAAGAATATTGATCAAAATTTTATCTCTTTACAGAAAGATGTTTTATAATCACCAACAAGATGAATGTAAATAAAACGGTACTAGGAAAGGTGTTGAGTTACATACAGAATCATAATAAACACAAGTTACGTCTCCCCCTACCTCAGCAACTATGGAGAATCACATGGTATTTCACCTTTCATACCATCATATTCCTTCTACTATAAATATCACACACATACCGAGTCTCTCACATCACTCTTTATCTAACCACTAATGTTTTTCTTACCTTGATCAAGTGAAGGAGGAGAGCAGTAACGAGCGTAAACTTTAAAAAAACCACAGAGTATAATATTACAGAGTAGCGTCCTGAGCTGAGGCTGGGAGACGTTTAGTGCTTCTCGGGATGGGGGAGCTCTGCCAATTGGAAAACTTATCGTACGCTCACACACTTCTATCCACCGTAACTTCATTATTTCCACATATTCGGTATAATACTTGTTAATTAATACTACCTCATCGGAATATATAAATTATAAGTGGTGTATAAACGTATTTAGAAGTTACTTGGTAGTGGGAGTGTTATTTAAGCGTATCAGGATAAAACATCATATACCCGCCAGTCATAGCCATTCATGTCAACCTACCCAAACCATTTGTTACATTATGGGATTAGAAAATATAAATAGTGGAAAGGGCTTGCTGGTATCTTGGCATCCTTGCTTAAAATAGGAATCCATAAATTTCATATTACATCATTCTTTAAAAATACAAAAAAACAAAACTAGAGTCATAGATAACATGTACGACACTGTTTGGTAATTCATATTCCTTTTCATATTTTCACTAAATAATCGCTTAAAAACTCCACGTATTTTCTATATAAATTTCAGATATTTATTTACTTTACATTTGTCTTTCAATATTATCATAGCAAAATTAATTATTACGTTTAAATATACAGTTCTTTACTCACTAGGCTAAGCACACTCAAAATAAAGAAAAACCACCTGATTAAACATACCTTTAGAGAATGCACAGTCATCTTAAAACACTCACTTAAACTAGCCAAGTCCAGACACACTAAGCTAACTAGTAGTAGCTTAGACAACCACAGGTGAATAAATTACCATGTTGACCTCCACCTGCCCTCACATAACACTACTGCTCTTTACTATTTTATCTAATGGAGTTATTTTTTTAACACGTACGCCAAGTAGTGTGTGTGTGTCTCTGGTAAAAGTTTATATTTAGGTACAGCAAAAAGTTTGGATACTTTTACTGATACAAAAATAAATAAAATTACTATTACAAATATACAATAAGTATTAATATAATTAAGGTATATATAATAAAAGTTAAGGTACATATCAATTCAGCTCCAAATACAGGTACAGAATATTAATGTAAGATACAATATGTAATTTTTGCTGTAACTTAGTGAATGATTTGCGTTCATGTTAATATGAACGTTTTCAGATTTTTTTTAACACACACACACACACACACACACACACACACACACACACACACACACACACACACACACACACACACACACACACACACACACACACACACACACACACACACACACACACACACAGAATATTAACTTCACAAGTAAATAACAAAAGCGTAGTGAGTTCAACAAGTGACCAGGATAAAATATTACTTGGCATTCAACGCTAGAAATATCACGTCTTTATATATACCAACTCATCAAACTACCATCAACTGTAATTTTTTTATTTTGTTTATTTCATACCACATAGCAAAAACTTACACAAATAAACAAATAAAATGGAAATATATAACAAACTCGTGTGTAGGAGGGAACTGATCAGAGGCTGCATCAGAGAGAGAGGAATGTCGAACTATAGAAATATCCTTTTAAGCGTTAATTCTTTGTTAGGATTATAATATTAATATAGTTATACAGTAATTAATACTATCGTAATCTAGGTATGGTTTATCACTTTGTAGGAGGAATTATAGTTATTAGTTCAACCTGCCACCGCCACCGCTGGACCTGTTGTCCCTCCCACACACACACACACCAGAGAACAAGGTTAGGTTGTTTTTACCTATCCATTTCTCTTTATATGTAGGTTAGGTTAGGATCAGGTTTAAGTTAGGTTAGGTTAGGTTAGGGTAACTTGAAGGAGCGTATTAGCTACACAGTGTAAATGAAAAACAATCAATCTAACCTAACCTAACCCCACTCTAAGCCTAAACCTAATCTAATCTATCCCGGTCTATAAATTCACCAGGGGATATAAGCCGTATTATTAAATTAGATTGGGGTCTCCATTTGTATTCTACCGAGAGCCACACACACACACAAGGCCACATGGGTAATATCAAGTCATTTAAATGCTTTGTATATCACTTGGGGGGGGGGGGAGAGATATCTACCTAACAATGCTATCTATTTTTACAATATTATATAATTTATAAACAATAAATACAAGTCACCTTAACCAAACCTAACAGGAGATGGGTTAGTTTTGGTGAGTTAACGATAGCTATCTTAACCAAACCCAAACACAACTTATTAACCTGAAATTAAAAGACTTTCTCACAAACTTAGATGGATGGACAGACAGACAGGCTAATCTATACCCCCTCCCCCCCCTTGCATAATCGTCGAGGTATAAAGAACTGCTCCAGTCAGACTTAGGCGGTAGTACAGTGTTAACAAACGGCTCTCACCCAACACGTACCATTTATAATATATTTCCTTAACTAATACAAATAGTAATATTAAATAATTCTTTCTCTAATAAATATATAATCATTGTAATGGAGACGAAATAAACATAATGAGAACTAATTTAGAAACATGTGAGTGTCTTTCATCTTGAGTCATAAGAGAAAACTGTGTATGTTGACGTTGTTGAAGGGGTGACTATACCTTTTACACTCAAATGGGGGTCACAGTGCTGATGATCTAACTAATAACTAGGACTGGAGTTAATTAAGAGTGATGACGTTTCCGACTGGGTCATAATAATAATAATAATAATAATAATAATAATAATGCGTAGGGTAGGTCAGGTTAGGTTAGATTAGGCTACAAGAAGGCTAGGCTAGGTTACGTTACGTTGGGTTAAGTTAGGTCATGTTTGGTTAGATTAGAATACGATTAGACTAGGTTAAGTTAGGTTAAATTAGCTCTAAGATCATTTAATCATCAGATAAAATAAACTAGGGTGTCCAATCTTCAAGTTATCCCATATTATTTCCCTGAGAGGAAGGAAATTTTGACACTAGTAGGTTCCATGACAGCTGCAGGATGACACTGTCTGCATCCTGTGTGTGTGGTGAAAGTTTTGATCAGAATAATCTCTTAAATCCAGTACAACCACAACTCGCTCCGGAAGTACACACGTCACCAGAACACCAGATTTGGGACAAAACGTATAATTGACTCCTTTATGCTACGGCACCAAGACGAGTATTAAAATGACGACAAAAGGGCAGTGTGAGACCCTACCATAACTAGTGCTCTTAACTCTCAATAATTGGGGAAATTAGACGCGTGCGGGTATTTGAGAGCCGAGGATGGCGGCCAACATGACAGATCATCATAATATCGAAAAAACGAATCGTCTTAACGTTCTGAACAGTATTTTGAGACGTAAATGAGAACTCAAAGCCTTAAAAAGTTTCAAAGTGTTGGTGAATTATTAAAGCAAGTTCTGGATGAAAATAAACTGGGAATATTTTTCGGTTCGCTGTGCTAATTGTGACTAAATTTATTTCAGAGTTTGAGTATCGAATTTTACCCAAACTTTTGATGAAAATATTATTGTTGTGTAAACATTTGGTCGTCAGGCATAATGTAGGCGGGAAAAAACTTACATGAACCAAAAATAATAAATAAGTAAAGAATTAAATAAGTGTACCGTTAAATAAGTAACGTGTAAAATAAAAATATGAAATAAGTCCCAAGGAAAATAAATACCACCGTAAAATAAGTACAGCATACATAAATAAAATAAGAACCGCATAATATAAGAACAAAATTAAATAACTCACTACACATAAACATTCCTTTAACACTGTCACTCCCAGAGGTACAAATCTCACTGGCACAAAACAACCTCGTTAAAACTTTTGGTAACACTTGACACACTGGTAGTAATTGGCAACACTGCTCTTTATCGTCTAATAACAAGGGATGGTGAGAGCTGAGAGAGAGAGAGAGAGAGAGAGAGAGAGAGAGAGAGAGAGATAACAATAAAGACACAGGGGAAGTACAAAGAAGAAGAAGAATGATGCTAAAGATGATGATGATGAACAACAAGTAAATGGAAGACAATGACAAAAGAGGAACAAATATTTGACTCTCCTCCCATCTCCATCCTGACGTATACTGTATGTATGTATGTATGTATGTATGTATGTATGTATGTATGTATGTATATGTGTGTGTGTATCCCAGTACTTACACCACAACACCTAGCTAATCATCTCATTATAATTTACAGTACACTATGAAATAAGAGGATCACCTGAAGATTAGCCCCCCCTGTAGATTATCTCACCTGATGATCAAATACCCTCTCTTCCTTTCATTATTCTCTCTCCTCTTCTCTCGTTTCTCTTCCTCTTTCCCCTCCTCTTCCTTCTCACTATAACTCAATATAAATAAGTTATGATAAAAAAATAAACCTAAGACTAGAATTACATATGACCTGACCTCCCATAGCCCCCGCGACCTACTGTGACCTCATATAACCCCCACGACCTCCCATAGCCCCCGGGACCTACTGTGACCTCATATAACCCCCACGACCTCCCATAGCCCCCGCGACCTCCTGTAACCTCTCATACTCTCCACTGACCTCGTGACCTCTCGTGACCTACATTGTTTTACGATAAGACGAGATCTTTTCCACCAATCGAGATATTCCGGTAAAACTGGCAATACTGCGGTGTTTTATGTGAGTTGACTGTGAAGGTGGTGGTGATGATAGTGGTGGTGGTGGTGTAGGGTAGCGGGTGGGTGTGGGTGGGTGGGGGTGGTGGTGGTGGTGGTGGTGGTGGTGGTGGTGGTGGTAGGTGGTAGTGAAAATCGTAGTAGTGGTGGTGGTGGTAGCAATGGTGGTGCTGATAGCAATGTAGAAGGGTTGTACGACGTCTAACCCTGAGTACGACGTTCAATCCCCTGAGTACACTCCAATTCCATTGAGTACGACGTCTTAACCCCTTGAGCATGACCTAAATGTCTCTCAAACAGAGCCAGGAGGCGACGTTTGGGGGGCAGGGAGGGAGTATGAAGGGGTAGGGTACCGAATGGGGGATTGGGGAGGGGGTAGATAGATGGGGGAGGTGGATAGGGAGGGGTAGGATAGGGATGGGGGGGGTGGGGATAGGGGATGGGGGAGGGGGTAG